GTCCAAGATAGTTAAGATCAAGAAGAACATCCAGACAGCTCAGAGTAGGCAAAAGAGCTATGCTGATACCCGAAGGAGGGACCTGGCCTTTGAGAAAGGTGACCGAGTGTTTCTTAAAGTCACCCCCTTCAAGGGAATTAGTAGGTTCGGCAGAAGGGGAAAATTAAACCCCAGATACATTGGACCCTTTGAAATCTTAGACAAGATTGGTACCACTGCCTACAGACTTGCACTGCCCCCTGAGCTCTCCCGGGTTCACAATGTGTTTCATGTATCTATGCTGCGCAAGTACAATCCGGACCCTTCTCATGTCGTGGCTCATGAACCGCTCTCACTCCGAGAGGACTTGTCTTATGAAGAAGTACCGGTCAGTATCACGGACCGAGAAAGCAGAATACTCCGTAACCGGGAAATATCATTTGTAAAAGTCTTGTGGCAGAACCACACGCCTAGGGAGGCGACTTGGGAGCTGGAATCAGAATTTTAGGGCCCAATATCCTCATCTGTTTGATCAAGAGTAATGAGGCAAATTTGGGGACCAAATTTCTTTATGGGGGGGAGAGTTGTAGCACCCGGAAAGGAGGAGAAAAAAAAAAAAAAAAAAAAAAAAAAAAAAAGGCGGCCACGTCAGCAGCCACGTCAGCAGGCCCGGTCAGCAGTCCCGGCCAACCAGGGCCTGCCACGTGGCAAGACCGCGTCACTCCAAAAGGAGCCACGCTGGCGATCCGCGTGGGTGCGATCCGACGGCCCAGATCAATCACGCGATCGGACGGCCCAGATTCAATCGCACGGACGGCCCAGATTCAATCAAAAACGAACGGCCCAGATTAAAACAAAATGAACGGCTGTGATCAAAAGGCAAGGGGTTATAAATAGAACCTCCACACCAGACCACAAACCCTAGCCGCCAGCCGCTCGCCGGAGAAGACGAACCAGAGGCCGACCGCCGCCACCCGCCGCCACTCGCCGCCGCACCGGGGAAATTTCCGACCGCCGATCGAGGTAAATTTCATACCCCCGACTCGTTTTTCCCCACTGATTCCTCCTATGGCCAAATCGAAGCCGAAATCCCGGCCAAACGGCCGGAATACGCGGCCGAAGCCCAGCGGCACCGCCGCGCCCCCTCTCGGTTTTTGCCTCCGACGAGGCCCTTCCCGGCCTCCGTTCGATGCAATTTTTATATCACCGTGATCACCATTCTTTTCTCTACAGGTTGACCGAAGCCAAATCACCAAAACACGAACTTCGCCGGAGAGTCGCCGTACCCGAGAGCGCCGCCGCCGGTAAGCTCCGTTTTTCCGTGATTTTTTTGCCCCCCGAGGGCCCTAGGGTTGTTTTCTGACAAGGACCAATGCGAGTGTGGCCGAATTCGGCCAAAAACGGCCGAAAACAGTCAACCCGAGGCGACTCGCCGCCGCCAGCGGCGGCGCCGTCGCCGGAGCACGGCGGAGCCGCCGTACCGGAGTTGCGATTTGGGCCGAAAGAGGCCCTGGGCCTAATTTGGATTTTTTTGGAACCCGTGCAGGTACTGTGAGCGTGTTTCAGTTCCCCGGGAAAAATTCAGGGGAAAATTAGGGACAGCCTGCAGGCGCACTGTGAATCGTATTCGGATCCCGAAAACAGGTAAGGACCCCTCACCTTATTTCCTATCACGGTATTAAAGTTCAAAATGATAAAACGGTATTTCTTGAATTAATGCATGTGTGAAATTGCTTAAGGTAGCTAATGGAGCCCGAGTCTAGTGTGATTGATGATTTACTGTTATTTGGCCTGTTTACAGCTTTAAATGCAAAATGAGGTTTGATGTGTTCATTTTACAGATTTGTGTGCATGTACTACGTTTTTATTAATTATGGGTTGAATGACTGAAAAACTGATACTGTATGTTGTCTGTTTGGTATGAATTACGATTTGCTTGTTTAAATGTGAATTGACGATGCTGATTGAGGAAAAGGAAAAATGAAAGATTGTGTAAACTGATAATTGTATTATGGGGGTCAGTCTGACTAGATATCCTGGGAGATGGTGGACAGACCGGGTCCGTAGGGAACCCTACCGGGATTGTGGTCTCACATGCCGGACGGGGTATGGAGATCTTATGGTTTTGGCGCCCATACCGGACGGGGTATGGGGACGGCCCGTTTCACCCTCATACCGGACGGGGTATTGAGGTTTATGGTTTTGGCGCCCATACCGGACGGGGTATGGGGACGGCCCGTTTCACCCTCATACCGGACGGGGTATTGAGGTTCATGGTTTTGGCGCCCATACCGGACGGGGTATGGGGACGGCCCTGGAAACTGATTATGAATGTTAAAGGTTAATGGGTAGCGGAACCCCTATGGACCCCCACGGATACTAGTAGGCTGGTAAATGAGAAAAAGATATGTTGTATAATGATTGAATTACAAAAGGCGTGATAAGTGCTATGTTTTACAGCTTATATTATTCCATGATTGTGATAATGTTATTATTTTTCTTATATTGTTTTCATAAATTCCACCGAGGTAAGTGGATGGTAAAGGTTTTCATGTTAATAAACGAGTTTATTGTAAATTATGCTCCATTGGTCTTTTTGTGGTTTTCTACCCACCTTTATCTCCGTGACGGTGAGATATCGTGATGTTCTTACTGGGCTAGTGTAGCTCACTCCTTAATTAACCATTTCAGATCAGGAAGACATGGTTCCCGAGCCCGTTCCGCAGGAGGACGACGAAGGGGATGCCTAGAGACTCTGTAGTCATACGCATAGTTTATTTTCGAGTTTTCTTTCTTAGTTAGTTTAACCTTTTATATTTTAAGTACGTTTTTTGGGTTTTTTTTCGTGTAAGGGATGTTAACTGAAATTTTGATCTCGCTTCCGCATTCGATATATTTAAATACTCATTTCATTTTAATATTTTCCGGGGCCGTTACATTTAAGGTAGTCATTTTTTGTATGTTAAATAGCTAATTTAACTTCTTTATTAGTATGATTAGCTTTCATAAGTTGTATTTTTTTACAACTTTGTTCTTATCTTTTATGATGGAAATCATTTCTTGAAAAGCAACAATGCTAAAAGGTAATAACCTCAACAGTTTTTTCCTAAATAGGAACAAAGTGATGGTAAGGTTGAAAAAAAGAACTCTCTAACTCTTTGGAGCAGTCTTCAACTTTAGCTATAATCTTTACGTGCATGTTTTAACTTCTTTATTTTTATCTTTGAAGTATTTGGTAAAATAATGAATGAATATTTTTCGTAAAAGATAGGACCTAAAGAGAAAATTGATAAGAAAAATCATAAAACAAAAAATAAAAAAGAAAATAAGAGCTTTCTCACAAGAAATGTCTTCTCAACTACCTTTAGAGAAGATTTTTTTTTTTTTTATACTAAATTTTTAATGTTACAATCTCTTAACTTACCTGATACAGTTGAAGATATTTGATAATTTCCTAATTTTTTATTATCAAATTACAATCAATTCCTCAAATTTGATTATAATTCAATTTGAATCGATCAAAATACTGGAATTTAACAATTTGATTTTACTCATGATTCTCTATTAAAAATGTTGGTTTTTGATTCAATAATTATGCTCTTTATTGACAAAAGATTCTATTTTTTTTTCTAATTTATTTATTTCTAGTTAAAATTCCTATTAATTAAAACTTAATTAAAATTATCTTTTACTATTGAATTTATTCTATTTTATTTTATTGCTAAGAAGGCAATTGGTTGAACATTCTGTTTGTTCCAAGTTTAATTTTTCAAAATATATCCATGATCAGAGTAAGATATTAAAAAGTATGAGATACCTAATAGTTAGATATATATATATATATATTAAAAAAAGAAAATGGGTGGCATTATCATATTTAATACAGATGGCTGGATTAATCGGTTGGGATTAGACTGAATTTACACCTATTTCTTATTTTTTTTAAAACCAAATTATCATATTTAATTTCAAACAACTCTTTACTCTTTTCCAAACTCTATTCTAAATATTATTTATCATTTTAACCACTTTATATCTTATATATGAAGAACATATATCTTTTTAATTTCAAGTCTAATACTAAAAATTAGAAACAAGATTTAATGTCACAAATTACAATTTTAGTGCATAAATTATAAGCTTTTCTTGTGATTATAAGGCAGTTTATCGAAAAAAAAAATTATTTCAATATGTTAATCTCGCAAATTATAATATTAGTAATTAAATTATTATTTTTTTTTTGGGGTTAGAAGTTGGGATTTTAGAATCTAATAATAATAATTTATCTTAATTAAAATTTTGATTTGCAACGATTCATGGGTGGTGGTGGATTTTTTTTGTTTTATAATTTGGTAAGGGAGCGAAACAGGCACGCACGCTCAAGCACAAATTGTGGGCCCAGTCAACGCAAAAATATATTAGTTAATTATTTTTTAAAAAACAAAAGAAAGAAAGGAAAGCGCGTCGTATTTGCACCGGAAGTGGGAATACTCCCCACCACCCAAATATTTTTCCTTCCGCCGGCCGTCCGAGTTAGTTATTGTCTCACACGCCGGTGACTAACTCCGATCAGAATTGTTATTTAATAAAACGATTATTCAAAATAAAAAAAATTTATTTAAAGAAAATTAAAAAAAAAAGAAAAGAAAAAAAAGAACACAGCTCGTGGGGGGTGGCCTGGTGGTGGGGGCCTCAACTCTCTTCCACAGAAAGGAAGAAAAATATTTTCAGAGAAAAAAAAATAGAAAACAAATACAAAAGAAAAGAGAGACGCGAGAGAGAGAGAGAGAGAGAGGGGCTTCCTTGAGAGAGAACAAAGATGGTGGAAGAGAGGTTACTCTGAGATCATTCTGCAAAAAGGGCAGTACAAGAAAAAGAAAAAACCGATCAAAATTCTTTAATTTTTTTCATTTCTAATTCTTTTCTTTGCTGCCTTTTTTATTCTCAATCTACCCCCAACTGCCTTTTTACCTCTTTGTAGTTCTTTCTCTCAATTCATTTGTTTAAATATTACGTAAACTATTATTGTTGTTTTCTGCTGTAATCATTAATAATTAATATACCTATCCACCCTCTAAACAAGATTTTGCAACTTTGTCGCCATTGGCATTATCGTCGTCGTCATCAAACGGGTCCCTTTCTTTATGGTGTGTTCCTCTTTGTGGGTTCCATTTCTTTTAGATTGCTTATTGATGCGGGTATTCCCTTATTCTTGATGGGTGCTTTTGTTTTTGTTTTTTTGTTTTTTTTTTCTTGCATGTTTTTAGCACCAACTGGTACTGTGGAGATAAGAGAACGATATAACAAGCTGTTTATTAGCTTTATGCGGTTTCTGAGCAAAAGGGTTCTGTGAAATCGATCTAAGAAACAAAAATGAGGGACCCTGATACGATTATCTCCCTGCCGCGAAGAATTTATATTTGGTTGTAGTATAGTTTTTGCATTGTAGCCAGAAGGTAGAACTGGCGTTGGTGTGTTTCCGTTGTTTATAATTTTCATTCTTCCTCTTGGAAAGAGGTGAGTTTTTGTATAGGAAACCTGGCGATTTTGTTGTATAGCGTCCTGGCTGTTGGGAGATATTATTGCTACCTCCATCACTATAGTGTTTGGCTGAACAAGCAATGGGGGGTAGATGGAACCCAATTGAGTTCCAGTTCTTTTGCTTCTTGGTCTTGATTATTGGCCTTCAAATTCAAAGCTCATGGTCCCTTAATTCAGAGGGTAATCTTAGATTCCTTGGTTCCCATTCTTTTTTTATATTGAAATTTGCTATTCATTGATGTTCACAATTTGATTATCCGGAAATGCAGGATTCAATTTGTTGGAATTCCGGGCTGCAGTGGAGTATGATCCTAATCGAACCTTTGCAAATTGGAATCCTAATGACAAAAATCCCTGCTTGTGGCATGGCGTTCATTGTGTCAACGGTAAAGTGCGAATGCTGTAAGTTCCTCTTACGTTACCCTGCAAAAGGAGAAAAACAAATCTTGTTGCTGTGATGAAATGTAAATCTTCTATTGACCTTTATCATTATAGGTGTTTCGTTTAATAGTGAATGTTTTCATGTATTTCAACTTGAAGGAATCTCAGCAGCCTTTCTTTAGAAGGAACATTGGCGCCTGAGCTTGGCAAACTTAGTGACTTAAGATCTCTGTAAGGATTCACAATTCGGCTGTGTGTTGATAGTAAAATTAGTTTTCATACCTATTTCAATTTTTTTTTTGTTTTGGGTTTAAATTAATATTGCCAGAACTCATGCCTAGATCTTAATAATCCTATGCTTTGTTCTGCACCTGAAACTAAAAATGAATCAAAAGGCCAGGGGAATAGTCATGTTTTTTATATTAGAAAGTTTTAGATAATTCCTACGGTCATCTCATTTTCTTAAACAATTATGGTACATCTGCCTTGTCTTTGTACAAGGAGTCCAAATATCTATTGAATACTGAACGATGTTGCCATTTAGTTCACCAGCTCTAAATCTTTTTCTTCACATTTCTCAGTATATTATACAAAAACCATTTCTCTGGTGGCATTCCCAAAGACTTTGGAGCACTTACGAAGTTAGAGCTACTGGATTTGAGGAGTAATAACTTGAATGGAACAATTCCTGAAGATATGGGCAAAATGCTGTCACTAAAACGCTTGTAAGTCAATTGCCCTTCTCAAGAAGATGGTCAATGTTCTATTCTAGTCCGATTGAATTTGTTCTCCACCCTAGGTTGCTCTGTGGAAATAAATTTGAAGGCAGCATTCCGATAGAGCTTGGGAGACTTAATTTACTTTCTGAATTGCAATTTGATGAAAACCTGGAATCCACCATGGCTACTGGAATTGCATGTGCAAATAGAAAATTTGGACATTGGTAAGAGCTCTAAATAGCATTTATGTCCTTTGTTTCCTATGCACAAGGTTCTTTTCATATGTTGATTAGTTCACGCTGTTCAATATATTTATCCACAGAATTTGAGAGACAAAATTTTAAAATGCTGGCACTCCTGGTTGTAGACATCTAGATATTAAAAAGTTGTGTTTTACTATGATGTTTATTTTATTGATCATAAGATAAATGAAGTACATCATTCTAGCTATCTAGGTTTTTAATCTTTAAAATATTTTTTTTCATGGATAGCATCTGGCAGAGCAGTTTGAAACAACTAAATAAAGCAGAATCATCGAGCACACCAATCAAAGGAGTTCTGACACATTATCTCACAGCTCCATTGACAATGTATGCGAATTCTATTTCTACCCTTAGACTTTTTCGTTTCAGCATTTCTATATAATAACAGTCTTTTATGTTGTCACAAGATTCAAGTTTGAAAAGGAGTCTGGCCGTGGAGACAATCACCATGGTAAACCGTCGAGTGAGTAGAATCACTTACAAAATCTTAGTGCATTATACTCAGAGATTCATCTAACAGACAAAATGGCATTATTTGTTGATAAAACCAGGTTCATCTGAGGAAAATGCAGTAAAAAAATATATGCAGAAATTTGATATTTTCTCACGTCGTAAGTTGCTTGAACAGTCCACTAATCTTCAAGCTGCACCTGCTAGTGCTGCAACTTCCTCTGAACAGATCATTGCTCTACCAACTTCCCATAGTAGTGGAGCTTTCCCTGCCATCCCAAAGAATAAACCTCTTCCTCCAGCACCTTTGCCTTCCATGTCTCCAAATCTTGTTAGTAGTCAGCCCTCCAATAACACACCTACGGTTCAACCTCTTTCGACTTCTGGACAGATGTGGAAGTATTTCATTATTTTGCCTAGTCTGGCCTTTATATTCATTGTTGTTGCAATCATGCTCTTTGTATGCCGAACAAAAGCAGTGAAGACAATAGGTCCTTGGAAGACTGGCCTTAGTGGACAGTTGCAGAAAGCATTTGTTACAGGTACCTCATTATATTATGTGGTCGAAGTATTATCTCCTCTTTAATATAGAGATTGTGTGCCAACATTTACCCGCTGTTACATAAAGTTAGGTAACTGCATCTAATAGTTGATAGAAACAGGGCGACAATGTCCTGATGGCACCATCAAGTAACTATTTCTTTTTTGATGGTCTGGAGCATCAATTGCACTGATCACAATAATCATCTGAAAAACAGATCATCTTGCCACACGAATAGGTCATTTCAACTGGCAGATTATATTCCCCTTCATCCTAGTAAAACTGTACTGTTGAAGCAAATGGGTCTAAAAGACTTTTTGTTTTAATTGTAAAACCTAGTAACAGTTATTTTCTAGTTCAGCCAAATGATAATGACTTTCCTTTATCTAATATACTAAGAGATGAGAGTTTTTTCCCCTTTAGTTAATTATGTGAAGGATATAATTCTGTAGTTATGTGAAATATGCCCTTTAACATACCGGTTACTGCTGCTGAGTATTATTAGATATAAGAAGCTGCCTCCTTTCCAAAGAACTGTCTGACTGAATTTATGCTCTTAGTACGGTATCCTACTTTTGTCCTTGTTTATAATAGTGAAACAAAATCATGTTTGTATGAAACACAGGTGTTCCAAAGCTAAATCGGTCTGAACTGGAAACAGCCTGTGAGGATTTCAGCAATATCATTGACTCTCTTGAAGCTTACACCATGTACAAGGGAACACTCTCTAGTGGAGTTGAGATTGCTGTTGCATCTACTGCAATTTCTTCTTCGAGTGAGTGGTCAAAGAACCTAGAAATGGCATATCGGAAAAAGGTAACATTCTAGATCATGGCCATTAATAGAAAAGCATTTCATATTCTAATTTTTAATTTTACTTTTAATATTAAATAATTTACCCTACTCTTTAGATTGATACATTGTCAAGGATCAACCATAAGAACTTTGTGAATTTGATTGGCTTCTGTGAGGAGGATCAACCTTCAACAGAATGATGGTGTTTGAATATGCTCCAAATGGGACACTTTTTGAGCATCTGCATGGTAATCCTTTCAGTCCAACATACCATTTCTAGCGATCATTTTAATCAGTACTTTTCCATCTGTTGCTCTCTCGGGTTAGCTGTTCTTTTCTGTTTTCAGTTGAAGAGATGGAACATCTTGATTGGAATGCAAGAACGAGAATTATTATGGGAACGGCTTATTGTCTTCAATATATGCATCATGACCTGAATCCACCTATAGCACATTCTAACTTGAGTTCATCGGCTATCTACTTGACAGATGATTATGCCGCTAAGGTTGCACTTCTTTCCCTTTCAGTCTGAATGACTCTGTTGTCCTCCGACCATAACAGTTTTTGGATTATTTTCTCAGGTTGCAGAAATTTGTTTCACTTCTAAAGGTTCAGTTACATCAAAGGTATCCAGCAATGATGAGTCAGAGCACTCTCATTTGCCACCACTTGCTGAACCAGAAACAAATGTCTATAGTTTTGGAATAGTGTTGCTTGAGATAATTTCTGGGAAGCTCCCTTACTCTGAAGAACATGGAGCCATTGAGAAATGGGTAAGTTTGGAACAAAAGATCCTGATTCAACTACAATTTGGTCCATCCCTGTAATTCTTTTTCATTTTGTACTTGTTAGCTAATGTTGTGCAGCTCTCTCATGTTTTATTCAATTAATGATTAAAAAAACATGTCAGGCTGCTGAATATCTTAATGATAAGGGGAGTTTCAATAGCATGATTGATCTGACCCTCAAGTCCTTCAAAAGCGAAGAACTTGAAGTTGTCTGTGAGGTTATCAAGGATTGCATTAAACCAGATCCACGGCACAGACCAACAATGAAGGAGGTCATTTCAAAATTAAGGGAAGTCATAAATATCTCGCCCGACCAAGCTACCCCGAGACTCTCTCCTCTTTGGTGGGCTGAACTTGAGATCTTATCTACGGAGGCAACTTAAAGTTCTCACTAACTCTCTTGTGTTGTAAGGCAAGTCTCTCTCTTACTTTGTATCAAATGAAAAGTAATAACTTTTTAATCTGAGCTTCGCCCCGCATGACTAAATCATATTCGTTTTTGCCTATTTGGCTTTTATGTATGTTATATGATTCATTTGATTCGAATTTTTTTCACCATCTTTCTGTAGCATCCTGCCACAATAAAAGTGTGCTATATATTACATAATTGGGGCTTTATGTACCCTTTATATACAAAGTTTGTGTGTAAAGACTAACACAGCCTTGTAAACAGTTGAATCTGTGTTTTTCTTTCCTTGGTTTTGTTTCATAGAAATGAGGTGTTGAGAACTTTGAGAAACCATTATTCTCTTTCAGGAAATGTTGCTTGCACCAACTTTGGAACGGACTGTTTTTTTGTTAGTAGGGGGAGGGAGAGAGAGCTCTGTTCCAGGTTTTGATGTTGTAAATTCCTCAATACAGAAATGAAAAACATTTTTGTTTCATGTTGAAATGAGAATCTTTCATGCTTTCTATGGGTCTGAGATTCGGGGTGTAAACTGATGCAAGCTCGGGGCATAACTTGACTCTATCTCTGATCAATGATTGATTGATAACTTGATCTAAAACACGACTCTGAGCTAGGATGTAATCAAGCTCGAGACACAATCTTAAATTTAATCACTTCCTCCCAATGTAAGCTTTTGGCCGGAGCAAAAATTTACTCAAGCCACGCTCAACCTAGAGCATGGTTCTAAAGCTCAATTGATGAGATGATCTTGAATCTAAGCTCAACTTGAGCAGGGACACGATACCAAATCGAACACGAACTGAGGCATGATTATAGGCTTCCAAATGTCTCGAGCATGACTCAATGTTGCTACTCTCAGGGCATAGATTTGATGTTCCAAGACAAGGGTTAACTCATTGTTTCTCAAACGGATTAACTTCTTTCCAATCTAAACTTTCCCTATTCTAAGACGATAAGTTTTCTTACTTTCTGTATGGAGTTTTGATTTAACCCAAAAAAGATACAAAAAGAACAAATCAATTTGTAAAGCTTACTAAAATAATTTTAATATAAGATTGATTAATGTTTAATATAAAAAAAAAAGAACAAAATTGATGTTTATTATAAGAATAGTTAAATTAAACTTGGAGGAGTTTTTAATCAAGAGCTAAGTTTTGTTCAGGATTGGGTAGGAAATAATGAACGTTAATTGTTTTATCGTGGGTTAAATGATTAGAATTTACTTAATTTAAGCAAAGTTTGTTAGTAAATACTTAGATTGGGTCTAATTATAGAGTATAATTTAAACAAAGGAAGATTGGTGATTTGTTCAAGAGAGGAGCAGCCAGCAAAGGGGATTAATAACTAATGACAACTCTTCTTGTATAATAATTAGTGATGATTAACATGTAATTAGTAGTATTAACTATTTTTGGTTATTACCAATATTAATTAGTAGAAATCTGATTATTATTAGGTGGAGAAAGAAGCTAATTACCAAGTTTCAATTTGTGGTGATAAATTGATTAAAAGAAAGCTCTCAGAAAATATGCGATTAATATTACTATAATTTTTATTAGGGTTTTTACTCGGCTTTTCTTATTGGTTATTATTGTTAATTTTATCTATATATATATATATATATTATATAATTGGAGAAAGAAATTGAGAGAATTACAAAAATAAAGAAAAGAATTTTAGAAATTAAAATGAATAATTATTTGAATTATTGAGAGAATTTTTTTTTTTTTTAAAAAAAAAGAGAACCATAGTAAATCAAAATATTGAAAATTAAAATAAAAAGAATAATTATTCAAAACATTTTAAATAAAATTATTAAAAAAAAGGAACATTTAGTTTTTCATAAAAGAAATTGAAAAATCCTAAAATGACAATATATATATGAATAAGATGTTTTTGCAATTCTATATATATTCAATGTATAATTAAGATTAAGTTTTTAATTACCCAAATTTCAAGAACTTTTAGCATAATAAGAAGAATTGGTTTGGCAATAATTGTGCAGCCATTCTATGGTTGGAATATATATTGCGTACTACCAATCCCCAATTACTCTGACCAAAAACCCAATACATTCACAGCTTCTACACTAATTTCATTTTGTGGGTGAATTCAGGTTGGCCTTATTTAAAAGTTTTTATGAAGCAAAATTATTTGCTACCAACCAAATTAAAATTACCCTTAATTTAAAAAATAGTTGTAAGTCGACCAACCATCAACATGATCATCTATTATAATGATCCTATTCTATTCTGTTAAATTTCAGTAATTTTATTATATTTTTAAATTTTAAAAAAATATTAGATTAATGGGTTAGAACCCTGAATAATTTTTTATTTTTTAAAAAAAAAAATTAAAATTAACTCAATTAATTAACTAAGAACTGAACTGGAGTTATGAGTCTTATTCCCTACTCTACCTTAAATATGTTGAAAAAATTGAAGAACACAAAATTTAAGCACATGAAAAGAAGGGTTTAGTCTAGAAAGTTGGTGCAGAAGAATGGTACGTACAATTATTTATAGTTAGGTCAGCTGCTGGCTACTCTGATTCAAAGAACCCTCTTGTGTATCATTTAATTCTTCCGTCAATCAAACAAATAGTTAACTCTCTCCTTATTGCATGGCTTCGTGCCTGAAAATATAATATTACTATACTTTTGTTTATAATAAAACATTGTGTATAAATAATATTTTTTTTTTTTGCAAATATACAATAAATAGATATATTTGGATAGAAATTAAAAGTTATATAAGTTATTATACTGAGAAGGATTTCGAGTCTCACATATTATCACATTCTTCATGATTTTAGGCATATGTGAAAATTATTTAGTTCGCGTCACTATATATATATATATACACACGCATATATATAATATTTATCTAATAGTTGGAATAGTGTCAAGTGATGAGAAGTGTCATTTTGTTCCTACGCATATGAACTTCTTGAAGGTAGTTTGTTGAAGATGAATTACAAATTTTAAAGATCAACTAATTCCAAAACATCCAAGTATCCGTCAACATAAATTCAATGATCATATATGTATATATGCCATTTAGTTATTAATTAATCTTAGTGATTAAGATTCTAGGTGTGTGTGTGTGTGTGTCTCTCTCTCTGTCTGTCTATAAATTTATATGCCATCCACAGCTGCGTTTCTCTCCCACCAAGGTAGATATCTAATTGATGATATTGAAGTCGAGGTTTCATTTCCCAGCTCATTTAATTAACACATGCATTTTTGTCAAAATTAGCATGTGTATGTAAATATGTATAATATAAAATTATCTGCAAAAATTTTGTAATATCCCAAAAAATGATAGGAAATAATTGGTATCTGCAACTTGCTTCAATGTCTTAAGCCCCACCAAAATTGACCAAATTCCTGAGCTTATGCAATGCATGGATTTCTTTTTGTATTTGAACCGAAAAGTCTAAAGTACGAACAATGTCAAACCCAAATAGAAATTTACCATAATTAATTTTTCTTAAAGAGAAACTTATTCATATTATATTATCATGTCTGTAAATTTTTTAAGATTATCCATTTATATATAGATTAATATTCATGTATTCATGCATAGCAACATAATTAAGCAATAGAAAATAAAGATGTGTGCTCCCACAGTAAGAACATGTAGATATAAGAAGAGTGCTGATGATGCGGAGATAAAGAAGAAGAAGAAGAAGAAGAAGAAAGTCTTTGTTTTAGGTAAAGAAAAGTCGATGGGTTATAATCAAGAAGATTGGTCCCACGTTTCTTAAAACTGTTAATAATGTATTGATTGGTGGGATTCATAGAAGGTGTACGAAAGGAAGAAAAGAGGAATTTGATTAATTATATATAATGATCTTAATTATTGATTTAGCAACATATATGAGGATTGGTGTCTCAGAGAAGTCAAACAATTAGTTTAATCACAAGAGTTAAATTGCACAACTGTCAAAAGAAAAGGCATCACATGAAATCCAAGAGTCGGATCCGCAGTAATAATAATAATAATACTAACTAAAATTGGAAATATAGAGAAGCACAGTTTTGATAATGTCCCAGATTTATAAATCATAGTACATAAGAGTCTTAGAGTATCTGAAATTTGCATGATATTGGTATCCAGGCTTCTGTGGCAATATACACTTCTGCAAATAAACCAATTTCTTCTTCGCTTGGTCTCTCCAGGTTTCTCTCTCTCTCTCTCTCTCTCTCTCTCTCTCTCTCTCTCTCTCTCTCAATTGTGGTGGGCATCCAATTGGATGTGTTTTACTTGCATCTTCAAGCCATATATTCCTTATATATGAACATGAAGAACTTGAAAAGCAAAAGGATTAATGGGATAAAATCATGCAACTTGTACATATGATTATAGATGTTTTTCTAATGAAGACTAGGAGTAGGAAACTTTTAACCCAGCATAAAAAACTAGAGATCCATGGCTTTTCGATGATATTCTATACAGTTTTAATTAATTGGAGATTGATTTTTTTTTATAACTATGACATCGGTTTGGCTGTCTCTCTCAGTAACATGTCTCTTTTCTTCCCTTTATTTTAATTACTCAACTAATTTAGGTTGGGTTATGATATTTTGAATTAGATGTATTTTTCTCTTTCTTTTTCCAAGAAATCCAAGAATGAAGTGAGAGAAAAGAAAACAAAGAAGATCTCTACAATCTGCATGCTAATTCTCCAGCATCAACCATGTCAGATGGTTTTTTACTCCCCAGACCGACTGAATTAGTTCCTGTTCCCTCATAGCCTAAATTCAATGCCAAGAATACTGCATTTGCATGTCAATGATCATGGATACACTTAAACCTTTTCTTTGTCTAAAATATTCTTTTTACCTAACGGATGCACTTTAAGGAACCTGTAATTTTGTTGATAGAATTAGCATCCTTTTTCCACTGGATTCCTCTATGCATACACACAAACAAAATATATGTAAAACCTATTTTTGCTTTACTCCAGAGTTTTAAGTTAATGTGGACTTAGTGAGTTTGCCAAGCACACATGTAGGACATGCAGAAACTTTGACTGATTAATTTGCCAACACGTAAGTTAAAATATATATTGATTAAGTGAGAAAACATTTTGATTGGTGAGCAAGCTTGTGTAATCCATCTTCAGTCATACCTTACTGAGTATATCCATGGTAGCCTAGTCTCGCAAAAATAAATAGTCAGCATAAAATTCCAAAAAAAATTATTATCAATCATAAGTTTTTTTGTCAAAAGTTATGATGATCTGTATAAATATCAGTCATTATTAATAATAGAATGATATAAATTATATGATGAGAAACTCTTATTTTTGAATATTAACAGGATGAAGCACCGCCATTTCAAAGAAAACATGTTAGAGCCACCAGGAGATACATAGGTGAGGGTTTGCTTTATGCTAACTTAGCATATTGATTATTGTCATTATCATTAAAATAACTCTTCTAAAAACCTATATATTTTTCACATTGCAACTCCAGTATGAGACCTAAGGGAAGAAAAAACTTAAAGAAGAAGAAGATTCTCTGTTTGATTCGGTAATTATGTTTGATGAATCATGCATGGTATTTAGTACCATGTAGGTAGTCATTGGTTCATGAATAGACAGTAAAATCTCATGCGTTAAAAATTTGATATGTAATCACGGAAAGAAATTGAATTAGATAAATGATGATTTGAACTAAGAAATTTTGGGAATTATTGCATTTTGTTTAGCAATCAACAGATGTAGATCTCTAATAGCTACCCCATCAATAATTTTTTACGTCTCAAGTATTGACTACTTGATTTCCTTTATTTAGAGATCATTTAAAGTTCTATGTGATAATTATGTCCTTTAAAGTTATGTGCTGCAACACTTCATGAAAGCTTTGTAGCGCGGGGTATTATTTTAAGAAAATCGATGTTGAAGATCTTTTCTAAACTATATCAACTATGACCATGAAATTGATATGGTTTGCAATCTCCTTAATGACTTCATCAAGGAATCAAGAAAGAACCTTGGTGTCATAAAATAATTTGACAAGAGAGATTCGATGAGTTAGTAGCAATTGTATTATTTGTACCTCTATTGTTAAAATTGATTTTATTGTTAGTGAAAAGATTTATCATGATTGTTTGAAATAAGATAGGTTAATTGTTCCCAAACAGCAATTGTAAAATCGAAAAAAAAAAATATCAAAATTATTATACTTATAAAGGTACTATAATGAGGTAGCATCAACCTCTAAATTACTTGTGACAGAAGAGGTTGAATTTTCCATTGATTGGAGTGATGATTGTCACCAATATGATAGTATTTTAATATGTTATTAAACGTTACTACAATAAAAATGTACATATATAACTTGATATTGTTGTTAGTCGTAAGTAAACCAAAAGAATTAGGTTAGATTTAACTATTATGTTTAATACGTACAAAGAAGTAAGACAATATGTTTAAGTATTTGAATAGTAAAATTTAGGATAGTAAATATATTATGAATCACTTATCCTCCAATTATTTTGTTATAACTTATTTTTTTTAAATCATTATTTCTCAACTACCTCTACTTAAATAATCATTTACATAGTATAAGAGGAATTGTATGCACTCATATTTGAATAAATATTTTAACTAATCTGTTTAATTTGACATTCTTAACTTTTATATATTTTTTTTACTATTCAATTACCACCTAAAATATATATGAAATTGAGTTATACACACATATAAATAAAATTCTAACATATTTAACTTGTAGCCAATAGGAAATTGAATTATTGATTGTAATAAAAATCATGAAATGTATAAAATGTTCGGTTCAGTAGATTTATCACGAGGGAGAAATTTTTTTCCTGACTAAAAATGTATACAATTGATAATTATAAAAGATACATACAACCACAACATAGAAATTATGGATTAACACATCTACTCCTAACGAAAAAGAAATCATTCGCACATTTTCACGAGGAATTTGGTTTATATTTTTATATTAATAGAATTAATCGTATTTAGTTCATTTTTTTGTAATTCTTAATTAATTTTTAATTTTAATTCTAAATTATATTTTCCAGTTGAGGAAACTAACTACTGATAGACAACTTGAAAACTAAGTAAAGGTAGTGACATAAGTGCACTATATATATACGGAGAGTTAGAGCAAATAATGATAAAAGACACGAAGATGTATGATGATATTCAAGAAAAGAGTAGTACTAACCAAGAGGTAGCTGAAAATATACATGAGGTATCATCCCAAAAGTGCTCGTCCTTTGACCTAAACGAAGAAGCTAGCAGCGAAGAAGACGATTTCATTGCCTTGGGACATGAAGATGATGATGCCGATGATGATAATGAGGGAATAAGAAAGAAAGTGATGACTTGCACTAAAAATAGGATGGAAGGAGACAATTCTAAGAGAAGATCTAGGGTTAGACAATATGTTCGATCTAAATTACCTCGCCTACGATGGACTCCTGACCTTCATCTTGCTTTTGTGTATGCTGTCCGAAGACTTGGTGGACAAGAGAGTATGTTTCTAAAATTTCCATGTTAATTAATTTCAATATCAATTGTTGAAACTAGTAGATTAACTTTTTAATAGCTAGCGAGAAACAAAAGATACATAGCCCTATGTTAATTATAATATTTTTTCACTAATTTGATAATGGTGCAGAAGCAACTCCTAAGTTAGTTCTTGAGTTGATGAATGTGAAGGGCCTTAGCATTGCTCATGTGAAAAGTCACTTGCAGGTAAAATAATTATAGGATGATCAATACGTACACTCATTTGTTACAAATAATCAGATATTGTCTCATATATATTAATCTCTCTATACGCATGCAGATGTACAGAAGTAAGAAGCTTGATGAATCAGGGCAAGGTAAACCTACTTTCTTTTCAAGGATTTATTTACTATCTATAAATTTAAGAGTTATACATATATATATATATACACATGATCTGCACTTTATATAATTTTACTTCCATTAACAACAATAATAATAATAACAATAACAATAATAATATTAAATCATAATATATCTATTTATAATTAGTCAATATAAATAGATACATTATGCGAATTTATCGTTTCAAATAAGATTATATATTTTATTGTGTACTGCTTAAAAAATTATAATATTATTGTTTGTATTATTTTTGTGGATAAATATTAAATAATTATTAAAATATATGAATTCAGTAAAAAAAATAAAATTAAATATTTTTTAAAGATAAACGTATCAAAAATTAATCTTGAAAACTTTGGCTTAATTTGTTGACCAGTAGTAATCAGCCAACGTGGTAGAAGGGTGAACGGAAGGGAGAGATTCCAGAGCATATTGCAGCCGGTGACGAGCAGTTCTCTTCATCACTTGAGAATGGAAAATGGAGGGATTGTCCTTTCCCAACATTCTCCCCTCAAACATAACATATTCTCCTGTCTCTCTCCACGAAGATTTGATTATGGGGCAAGCTTTTCAAGGTAGATGATTTGATTATGAGAACTGACCAGGAAATATTTAATGAATAATCTATTATTTATACACAAACATGTAAGATCAAAAGAGTGTCAATCAAATTCAAGTTCAGCATTATTTTGGGCAAAATTAATACAATTAGATCATAAACACTAGACTTTAGCATAGAGATAACTGATATAGTTCCAAAAGAATAAAGAAAACCAAATTTATATTGTTTTTACAGTAGCTAGCTAACAATTTGTATGTTTGCATACGTGTGTTATTGCAGATACCAAGAGTGGAAAAATGTCAGTGAGGCTAATATCACAACAAGGCATAGTTTGGTGAACAAAGATCATATGAAGAGCTTCTTGAGATCACAACATAACTTAATCGACACGGCAATGAGAACAGAAGCCATGAGACCTACTCGATTTCTTGAGGAAAAGCAATGGCCTTTGTTCGAAAGCATCGATAATTATTGGAAGGTTAATAGGTCAAACATTGAAAATATCAATCACAACAGGCATTTCTCCACTAGACCATCATCTTATAAACGACATCTTGCTACTGGAATAATGGCTACAAAAAGGAAATGGATCAGCGAGGTATGGCCTAAAACATCTTAGCAATGTGGCCACGACCAAGTTTAAAATTATCTAATTATCACTGGCAATTATATTGTTTTGCTTTTTCAAATTTTGTTTGCTTTTTAAGGTGCAGTTAAATCAAGAAACGAAGACGAGAGAAAAGCTTCCTGATCTGCAACTCAGGCTGAGCAGAAGAGCTGTAGTTGATGAGGAAATAAGTCACAAAAGCGAACTGGAAATTAACACACAGCTTTCACTTTAGGTGTCTTCGTAAACTTTGTTGGAAGTTTGGAATTATCATAAAGAGAGACAGAGAGAAGAACTCAGGATTTGTGTTTCTAAACTGAAACCTTCAAAATGACTGAATTATTTCTTTCAACAGCATTGCTATTTATAAAAAGAAAAGAGAGAATTTTAGAACTAAACATTAATTAAATTAAGCATTTATCACTAATTAATCTGGTCATAAGTATTTATAGGGTTATCAAATTCATGCAAAGTTACATTGAAAGAGTAGAAATTGGCAATCTTCCTTAGAATCACGACTGATTGCTATTTATTAAATCACATTGAATGGTGATTTTCATAAAATTAACTCCAGCTTATTATATGATTTAAGTTTATTAAAGCGCATATAAATATCTTATATATTAAGATATGAACTAACAATTTCGTGTAGGCTCATATATGTCTCAATAAAAAGTCTGTAATACAAAGATTCTATACGAGAAATAATCTAAGGTTAAATCCTCCTCTTCCTTCCTATATATATATATATATATAATTTACCAAGATATCGTAGTTAGGAGTCTTTATTTTGACCAACAGGTGTGGAAAAATAATCTAAAGTTAAGTACTTACAAGTTTCCTCTGCTTTGATTATATTTGTATATTTTGCTCTAGAAACATTTTACACAAAGAAAAACGTGTTAAGTTTGTGTTTCACGATGTTAGACATTGTGGATCAAAGGCTGTAAGGAGTGTGAAGATGAACAAAAGCCCAACCCAAAGAATTTAAAAACAAGTTTTTACTACAACGACAAAAATCCAAGCACAAGTAACAATAATAGTTCGTGGTGTTCCGTTAGAGGAAATTAGCGTCCAACCTCTCAGCCATAATATTGTCAATCCAGCACATGAAATCACTCACCCCATCGACCTTTACGCAGAGCCATCAGTGTTGATCTTGAACTAATGCTCTCGATGAGCTCTCTTGCCCAGTTCGGTCCCTCTGTTCTAGCCACTAGTAAAAAGCTCCTAGTTACTCCCAAGTGTATACATTGTGAAACTCAAGGGTCATATTAATATAGTATAACTCTATGGTGCTACGAAACGCGTCCTCAACGCCTCGTTCTTTCTATATTGGGACTACTGGAAGGTTGAGCCTTGAATGGTGACAGAAGAGGAGTTTTAGGTTGTATTAGGTTAGCTCCTAACCATGTATTCAGAAATAGTTTTATCCTGCTCTTTGCATATAATCTTTTTGTTTGCTTCTTCAATCTTTGGAATAAATTTTTTAAAAAACAAAATTTTAAGTATGTTATTTATTTTGTTTTATCTTTACAGTTACAACATATATTTGAATTGTTTACTTTCACCTACACATTTAGACAAGTAATAAACATATAACATACCAGTCAGCACTGACTGAGCATATCAAATAAACATATATTCTGCTGGTATTTGGTTTACTTGTTTCTAGTTAAAATACCCACCGAGAACAATAATTACCTATACCACTAAGGCGAAATCACAAAGGAAGAATGTTCCAATACTACGCATATCTGCTCTCGCATCACTAGTAATTGTTCACATAATGTAGCAATGTATTAGAGATGCTATCATGCTAAAGTGAACCTACGTACATTGTTTATCTGAAGGAAAAAAAAAAAAAAAGATTATCACAACCTTACAGTATATGAAAAACTTGGATCAACTATACCATGATTTGCAGTTCACCCGCTCAAGTAAACCAGGAGTCTGGTTAAATTGTTTCCCAGCCATGAGCACCAGAGCGCTTGTCTCTATGATTCATTATGTAGGAGAAACTGCTGTTGCTAGTATCCAGTTTCGGACGAATATGTATCTTCCTTGACTATACACCGGGAGAGGTTAATGCTTCCAATATATCCTAATACAAGTATCAGAGGAAACCATATACAACCAATCTGATGCCTCAGGTAGACTTTAAGAATTTTAATTTGGCCTGTCATGATTATGAAGCAAGAAATGACCTCCAAAACTATAGTAACAACAGATGGAGAAGTTCAATAGGCAGGAGGATAATCTGCTGTTGGAAAAAGGAGAACCTGGAATATTTTTAACTAGCTCCCACCACAACATGCAAAAACTGCCCGAACAAGGCCAAAGAGTCCAAGAACTTCAACATGGAACTTTAAAATTCTATGATTTGGATGGCTGAGAAGCATGAGTAATAAATTCCTGTCAACCAAAAGAAAAGGAAGATAGGAAGCTTAGTCTATCGTCTGTCTGACAAATCTTATTCTAGATCAACTTTGAACCAGAAATGATTTTATTACCTCAGAATAGCGTACATGATCATGATGCATGTAAGAAGTTTTAACAATCGTTTCCCACTTGGTATTGTTCGAGGTCTCCGCAGGATCTTGCTTTTTAGGATTAAATCGAGCATTGATATATGACTTTGAAGGTTGATTTCGTGAACTAACTGAAGGCAAAGTGCGCCAAAGCCAAGACTCAGAAGGTGTTTTTGGCAGAGGTGGGGGAAGGGTGCAAAGTTCAAAACCAGTAATGATCTTTCCTTGGCCATCTGCTTTGATCTCATCATTACCAATACTTTCATTTTCACCAGCTATAAGTTTTATACATTCCAGAGACTTAAATTCCTGATCAAGCTCTGGATGCAGTCTGCTCTCTGACGTGTCTTCTTGCCTCCTGAGAAATGAGTTATGAGAGAAAGATATACTGGCATCAAGAGAACCCAAGACTTTAGGATCCAAAATGCTTTCTTCCTGTGGAATACTCAGAGGTTGTATGTCTTGAAGAGGAGATGATACTGTATCAGAACCTTCCATCTCTTTGATTATTGAAGAGGTTTCAAAATCCTCACCCACCGAATCCATCCAGCACTTCGTTCCTGATAGACTTGAATTTGACAAAGGTGATGTTGACGAGTTTATGGTGTCCACATACAATGTCTTCTCAACTGCAGGACTTGATGAGCTTGAGCTTTGCCTGGTGCTCCTTGGAAATAATTCCTGAGACTTGCTAATGCCCCTTCTATGCCTATTCATCATGTTCCATTTGGAATAATCAGCTTCATTTGGAGTGCCAAGGAAACTAACTCCACTGAAAGGAGACTGAGTAGCCGTGTTATGATAGGGAGATATGCAACCTGAACGCCTATGAGGAGATGACCACCTTGTCAGTTGGTTGCCTGAATTAGACATGAATCGATTGGATCCACAGGTCATCTTATTCTCAGGAACAGCAAGCCTTGGTGATCGACCTTCATTATCTGCCTTTTTCTTCAGAATAGAGTCCCAAGCATGCTGAAAAATAAAGCCATTTAACCATGTAAGTTTGAGTTGAAAGTTTCTGCCAGTTATAACAAGAGCACTTAAAGAAAATGAAAGGAAAACAAATTAAGAAAAAGCTTTATCACAACCTTCTTAATACTTTGACTGTGAGACTCCATGTGCACAGTTTTGCTTGATTTTCCAAGATCAGAGATTGAAGATAGTGAAGAGTGAGTCCTACCTTTCAACCCTGGCATTGGATTTAAGAGGCAAAAAGAGTTTTTAAAGCATAACCGAGGCAACAGTCCACAAGCTTTTCCTGATATGTTGGCAGCATCATTGTACTCGTATTCTTCTTCACTCTCTTCATCCTCAGTATCCTGGCCATAATGCAGCATAGCAACGGAACTGTATTGATTAACAGGAGGCTTCCTATTCTCCCCAACCACTTTTCTAATCTGTCTTGGTTGTTCAGATTCCACAGCCATTAGTTGCTTCCTTAAAGCATACTGAGGTGGCTCCAAAGCCATCGCCTTGGCAGCAGGTAAGAAGCGACTCATCATGAAATCTCGAGTTTGTGGATCCGTAGCAAAGGTCCCTGATGGCTCTGTATGATTTTCATCAAATCCAGTCAGGCCACTTACACTACAGTTCATAGAGAACGAATCAGTTGGAGACAGTGTATCAAGTGCATCAGAATATCTATCATCATCTCCATCATGATCATCATCTGCCAAGTCTGAGACCCCCCTCTCATTTATCCCCTTTTTTGAGCTCTCCAATCTATTGACACTTTGATTTTTCGAAGATATTCCAATTTGTGGCCTAACCGGATTTTGCTCTTCAAAATTTTTCTCTGAGTTATACTTGATGATATCCCAAACCCTTCCCGGAGGAAGACTTGGAGTAACAGAAGCCTCCTCTATAGCGTGTGACTCTTCAATGCTGTCATTCTTCGGTCTTCCTGGGATCTGTTCCCATACAAAAGGAACAGCAACTGGTTCTGTCACTTGATCCAAAATTAAATCTGATTTCTTTAATGGGAGACTAGGCCACCTTCTGGGCCGGGAGCTTTCTGTTACTTTCTCATTTTGTTCATTTGAAGATGCTGACATGTTAGAAAACCGCCTAACCGATAGAAGTGGTGCATTAAAATTCAATCTCATTTCCTCCATGGCACTTAACAAATGAGCAAACTCACTCTTCAATTCAACTTTCTTGATTATTTAAGGTTCAGAAACAGAGAATAAAAGCTCATAGCTGACAAGAAAAACCTGAAAATAAAGAAAGAAGATATAATCCCTTTCAACAAAGATTCCTAAAATCCCCTTCTTCTCCTACTATTTAACAGATAGAACATGAACAGAAATTTAGATACTTGGTCCCCTGGAAAAGGATTAAAACAAATAAAACTTAAACCAGCTAAACTTAAACATTATTCAGGATCTGAGAATTGAGGAGCGACAACTCCAAACAATTACTCCTTACAGAAATCAAAACCAGCAGACAATAAACAAGTAAAAAACTAGTTCCTTGATCAACCAAAGCAGAGTGGTCTGAGATATCCCAATAAATTAAACCGACCCACTAGATTGAATCAAGAAATTTGGCATCCGAAGAAATTCGTTAGAAGTAATTAAAGAGAATAGAAAGAATGTAACTGACCAAGAAAATGGACTCACAAGAATCTGACGAACACATCCAAGAACAACAATGTTATGAAGAGAAGACTAAACCTGAGCAAACCCAGTTGTGGAATTACCTTTGTAGGTCAATCAGAGATAAAAGAAACCATGGACAATGCAAAAAAAATTCCAGGTTCCTGTTTCTTGGGTCCTAGTCGAGGGGAATGAGTAAAGAAAAAGAAAAATCAAGAAAAAGGGTCTTCTGGTATTTGCAGGGAGAGAGCAAGTTGGGTAATAGAGACGTAGATGGTGGAGTGGCGAGTGGTGAGTGGCAGAGAGGAGAAAAGGAAAAGTCCATTAGAGAAGCGCAGTAAGTTTGGCTTTATGCATTCCCGCGTTTGGACTCACGCGCAATGGATTTTTCATACCATACGATGGATGAGATGATGACCTTGACTGAGAAATCTTCGTAAGGTTCACGATAACAAACTCTACAATTTTGGAATAAAGCACCATTTACATTTGCCTTTTTTTTCTTTCAATCCTTAATTAATTTTTTTAGATGATTGCTTAATTGATTAATGTTGGATTATGTTTCTTTTTAGAGGGATAATCTTATGATTACATATTTTTAATTAGTTAGTTTTTATGCACAAAGATTTTAATAATGGATTATAGGTTCAAATTTTCACTACTTGGCCAATAATATGCTAGTGTAGAAAAACATAATTTTTGTTATGATTACATGTTGTAAGCAATTCAACTTTTAAAAAAAAAAAAAAAGATTTTTTTTTTTTTTATATTTAGTTATAAACTTAAATGAAATATGAAAATAATATAATAAAATTATTAAGAAAATAACCTGATTTAATAGATAATAATTTTTAATGAATTTCTTATAACTTTTAATTATAAATTTATATAAAACTATAAATTACATAGAAAAATAAATTGTAAATTAAGATATTATGAAATGAAAAAATCTATGAATATTCATGTTACGATTCTACCATATGTGTCTTTTTTATTTCGTCGAAAATTAATTCTATGCTCGTGACCTCATTCAAAATTATCGTAATACATTCTTAGTTTCTTTCTCTTTCATTACTACATCTTCAACTTGTTTGCTCTTACCATTCTGCACTCAAAAAGATTCTTACTTGACTTTGTTTTAATTCTCCTTTTGACCAGTAAAAAGATGTATATGCTTGGTTTAATTTAATTTTTCTTCTTTATTATCTAATTATTAGATATTTTTGTAATATTTATCTAGACGTTTATTTTTATAAATAAAAAATAATAAATAACATTATTTATAAATACAGTATCAAAGTAAATAATAAGAATTTAGTAATTATTATTTCTTTACTAATGAAAATAGAATTTTGAATTTACTGTAACATTTTTAAAATATTAAACAACAAATTATTATTATTATTATTATTATTATAAAAGGTATGAATTATTTAGTCACGAGCATACAGTTGAGGAAACTAAAAAGCATGAAGTTAGTTAAGACAACGGACTCTATATAAAAAGTAAGCGGGTGTGTGGACCGACCAATTTAAATGATGGTTGCTAGTTAGTGCCCTTCTCATCAGTCATTCGTCTGTCACCATCTCTTTCAGACACCTACTGTCACTTTATCTTTATTCTATCCTATCCCACCAACTAAATTAAAATTATAATAATATTATTTATGACAAAAGTCAAATTTACATTCCGAACTTTAGTATAATATGATACTTTATTATTGTTATTATTATAAGAATTAAGCATGAATCATTTATCAGTAAAATATTAAAAAATATAAAAAACAACAACAATAATTTATTAACTAAAAATTTTAAGTAATAATAAGTAATTTATAGTGCTTACAATTATAAAATTAAGTTTATTTATAGTACTATTAAGTTTAAATCTACTCGGATATATATATATATATATATTATAATACAATTAAGTTATATTCTAGCTAGAAAATTTAATTAGGAAAATACCAGTTTAAAATAAATAATTATAATACAAAATCTAATGTACATAAAGTATATATATTAATTTACTATCTTATGCTTAATTTTTTTGTCCTAATTTATCAAAATGTTGAAAACTCACTCAGTTCATTTCTGCTCTTTAAGTTGACATAGTGGCATCAATGGGTCAATCATTCATTAATGAATCGGTGCACTAAAATTTATTATAAAGTTTAATAATTTCTTATAATTTTTTTGTGATTTTTAATTATATAAATGCTATATTTTTAACCAATCTAAAATTTTGATGATCATTTTCAAATTTACAATTTAATTAGGAAATAAATTGTCAGAGAAGATTGAAAGAAAAAAAAAATTACCCCACTTTCAAATTCCATCAAATTATATGAAGTTTGAAATTAATTATTTTAATTTATATAAAATTATATATCAACTTAGTCTTTATTTTTTTTTTATTCTAGATAAATTAATCTAGATAAATATTACCCACTTTCAAATTATTTTGAAATTAATTATTCTAAACATAGTTTTATTTTTTTTATTAAAAAAAAACTCTTTTCTTATGGAAGGAAAAAAAAATTACTTGTTTATTTTTGCTAAAGTTAAGGAAAATTGAAGATGTGGGTCAAATTCTTTTCTAATTTCTTTAATTACTTTTCTTAGTGGAATTTGTTAATTCAAAAGTTTTGTTTCCATAGTCAAATTAATTAGGCAATCGAATATATATATATATATATATATATAGTTTAGTCTCTTTATTCCAATCAACCTTTATAAAACTGCTAAGCAGAATTTTGTAGTATCAACTTTATACACCAAATGATTAAATTATAAAAAGATTTGTCTCAACTCATTCTCTAATTTCCCTTAATCTTCGGGGAATCACGTTCTTAATTTTTTATTAGATTAATCTAACATGTTTTTCTGTTTAATAATGAAGCAGCTTTTTATTCTTACTAAATTCTTTTTAGAGTGTGTTTGGATAATAATTTATTTAATATATAATATGATAATTTTATAAATTTATTTATTTATTTATATTTTCATACACATGTTATAATTTTTTAGCAGTTGTTACATAATTTTAAAAATCATAATATTTTTTTTTTATTTTTTCAAACCACTGAATGTGATTTAAATATATTTTTTTCATTTATATTCTTATTTTTTTATTATTTATATTTATACCTTCATCTTATTTTTTTAATAAATATATATTTATATATATATATATCATATTAATAAAATAATTAATTTAATTAAATATATAATTATATCATTCTATTAATTTAAATAAAAATAACTGTCATTATTATACATTAATATATAATCTTTTTAAATATAGTATAATTTTATTATTTTCATATAATATTATATATTAATAAATCATTTTAAAAGTCATTTAAATATATTCTTAGTGTAAAAATATTTTTGAATTAATTTAAAGATGTGTTGTTTTTTAGTTAAAATTTAAAGACGTATTCTTACTTATTAACTTGCCATATTCCCAACAACAACAACAAAAAAAAAAAAAAAAAATTGGTGTAATGACCCTTATAACCTTAAAATGTAATTAATGAAAATTAAATTCATTTAAGTTAAATAATTAAGTTTATATTAAGGAACTTCATAATTAAACATGAATTTTGAAAGTGAAAACTCTTTTCTTTTTCTTTTTTTTTTTTTTCCTGGTTTTATCCCATTTCACATTAACAATACTATATGAAAACATGGAATTACAACGATTCTTTCAATCACAAATATTTTTAATTATCTTCCTCAGCTTGATGCAGCAAACGGGTTTCTTCTCCATTGCAGACTTTGATATACCTTCTCTGTTTCCTCCATTTTAGCCCACTGAAGCTTGTGTTTAGCCACTTTTCGCTTACTTGCCGTTATTCCCACAAAATCTCCTTCATCCTGTCAATAAATAGTGACTTGTCTTATTGAGAGCAAGCGTCTGAAGTTTGTTCGCAATCAAATACGTATTCTTGTTCATTTACTTTATTACATATTTTAAATTTATATAATCGATCGTACCTTAACATGTATATTATTATAAGTTAACCAATAAATCAATTGATTACATTCTCTAAATAAAATAGAGGCTAGAAACTTTGTTACCTTGAGGCAGAGCCCTTGTTCAACATAACAAATTGGGTAATCACTTGGGCAGCAGTACCAACTTGAGGTGCAGCATGTGGCATTCTGGTAGGGGCAGCAGCCATACAGCAAGCAATAATCTAATAATTCAAAAAGGCAGCAGCATGTCTCAGAGCTCGAACAATATGAGAAGTCACCACATTCAATAGGCGAAGGAGGAGGAGGTGGCGGTGGAGGAGGAGAAAGAGGAGGTGATGGGTGAGGAGATGGAGAATATGATTGTTTTGTTGGGTAAGATGCCATGGCATTTATACCACAAACACCATATTCTAAATCAGTATTCCTTCTGATGTAAATATATCCCTCCATTCCCCAGCTTGTTCCCCATGAATTCTTCACTATCCAGTAATCTTCTCCATCTTCTGATCCATACCCAACAATCAAAACAGCATGATCAATATCGTCTGGTTTATCCGAACACTCACCATTATAGATTCCCTGCTCAAATATTAGATTGCATACACTCATTTTCCAAAGGAAGACTCTTTGTATATATATATATATATATATAAAGCTACTAACTTTTTCAGTTAAATTAGTCAACACCCATGAAAGTAGAACAGAGATTTATACTTACACCGGTATACAGCTGAAAATCCATTGTAGAAGCATCAATGCCAACACTTATAGGCTGCTGAACAACTGCACACAAGAGAGCACTGTCTGATTGATGTACATCCTTGTAGCCGTCTATACTTACAGCCATGGTCTTCCCCTAATCAATGAAAAACAAAGAGTAGGGAAAAACCAAGTAATTGAAAAGAAGAGAAGAGATAACTTAAGCAGGAGAAAGAAAAGGTGAATTTAAGAAGAAGACCTTGGTGATATTGCAGGTGCCACCAATGCCAGTATAGGGATAATCAGTTTCAGTGTCAATCCCACCATTGTTTATAACCCATTCAAAAGCATAATCCATGTAACCTCCATCACATCCATCACTAGTAGTATCACAGTCCACAAGCTCTTGCTCTGAAAGGCTAATTAGGTCTTCAGTGACTATGGCGTTAATCCCTTCAATTGCTCCAGTTGAAGAAAATGCCCAACAACTTCCTGCTCATCATACACCAAGTCTTCTGATTATTTATGGTCCATTCAACATTATATTGTTATGTAATCTAACATCACATCAATCAAGTATAAAAATCTTTACTAACTACTTTATATACTTATCGGATGATTTTAACACCATATGGTTTTGGATAAGAATCTAACATAATATCAGAACCGATATGTCTCATAACTCGGTGCTGCTTAATATTTTTTCTTTAAGGAATCTAATCCAATCTTTGCTAGTTTATATACCTGTTAGATAACTCTTTCTAATAACCCAAATGAACAAAAGTTATTTATATACCTGTTAGACAACTCTTCTTAATATCATACTTTTTGGATCAAAATCTAATAACTTCAAACAAATACTTAACGAACCCAAATGAGCCAATATGAATTGAAGTGAACTCATGCCACTAACTTATATGCTCTATCTATATATTAACACTAGTTTGAAAAAATATTTAAAGGAGCAAATATTTAACTTACCACAAGATCCTTGATCCTTGACACCAGTTACAACTCCTCTTTTTCTCCAATCCAAGCTTGATGGTGCCTCACAAGACTGATCAATACCTGTCCTGATCACATTCTTTACAATTGGTTTCTTGACTTTTGACAAATAAAACTTTCTAAATTCCTCATTGCTCATATCAGCAAACTTGTTTAATCCCACAAAATGCCCATTATTCCCCAATTTTTTCTTGGAATTCTTTTCAACTATGTACTCCAAGTTGCTCTTAAAGTTCTCGTATCGCTTGATCGCTTCATCCGCCTGCGTGTAAATCTTTTTGTGCTTCAATTTCCATTGTTCAAACACTTCTCTAACTCTTTCTTCTGAGAGTAACACATCCAGGTTATGTCCAACTATGGAGTATTCAGTCGGGAGTTGACTGAAGGAGATGCATATTAGTGAAGCAAAGGTAAAGAGAAGAATGGTAAGTAATCTAGTGAAGGGGGAACCCATTTTCCTTTTCTGAACAATGCCCGTATATCTTTATGGTATATGTAATATACATATATATAGTAAGTATATATGTGTGATATGTTAGTAAGGTAGCTATCTAACAGCAGCAAGCCTAACAGTCAGCTCAAGAACATTAGATTTCTGCTACATAATAATGTTACCATCAAGTAAACGGTGATATAATTGAATTACATCTAAAATTAATGGAAAAATCTAATTTTTATCGTTCAATAAATCTATAAATTTCCGAGTCTTTTGACTATTAGGTCTGCTTGCTCATAAATCCATAGATCTGAAAAGCAGGTATCCAACAACCAAATCAGTTTGGTAAACGTGGTAGATATACATATGTCAGACTAAATTTTGTAATTTTTACTAAATTTTACCTTAAAAATCTCAGAATTACGTTGACTTAATTATTCATATACACGGATTTCCCGCCGGACACGACGGTCAGCGTCAAGCTTCGAATGTGAGATAGTCTTGACGACGACCTTGAGAGCAAAAGGGGAGCGGGCATCTGGGTTAGACACGGTATGGTGACGAAGAAACACAGTACCCATGGCGCCTTTGCTGAGAATCTTGAGAGGTCTAATGTCATCCTGCTCCATCTCAGGTAATAACCGCGGTGGTGGAGGTGCTGATGATGGGTGTCTCCATTTTCAGAAAGAGAAACAAGAAAAACAAAAAACAACTCGGGAAGGAGAACGAGAAACAGAGAAAGAAGTGGGTTTCAGCGTTGGGTTTTGACATATATAATCTTCGGAGAGTGTGCAACGTTGATTGTGTATAATTTTCAGAAAAATAACAATAACTGCTGCCATTAGCTTCACAGCTCTTCTACTCCTTCCTTACATGCGATTCATGCATTTCTAGAGCCATCATTATTTTTTTGCTATTTTTATTAAAACAAAATAAAAAGCTACCATAAGGTCTTTTATTATTTATTACCTATATAAATATTTATATTTTAATTTATTTCTTAATTTTCAATTATCTGGTTAATAATTATTTTAGTCTAACTATTATCACATTTTTAAGTTAATTTAAATATTTGTTATAGTAAAACCATGAGATTATTAACAACATATGCATACATACATACAAATAAGTGTATTATTATATATATTACAGAATATAAAACATAGTCTACAAATAATAATAATAATATCTACAATTAATAATTTACATTATATTTTTATATTTACTTACACTAGTCTATAAATAATAATTTAGATTAATTTTTTTTTTTTTCAAATTTTTACAATTATTTGAACAAAATACATAACTCCTCTCTTGATATTCTTTTTGATAATTTCAACTTCAATAATTATTTTCATTTACAATTGTTTCAGTCAAATGTCAAATATATTTTTGATTAAAAATGTTCTTAATTAATAATTATTTTAGAAGCATTTTTAAAAAATCACCCACTGAAATAGAAAATTAGGATTGTCATAAAGATCAAAGTTGATTCAAATCCTGGAATTGATGATTGGAGAGGGGAAATGTATGTAATAATCCATAATATAGCATTCATTGATGCATATGCCCTTCTCCCAGCAATAAATTTATGCAGATTTTCCAGATGAATTCAGAGTCATCTGACAGTCTTTGAACAGAAACGAATCAACTCAGATAATTTACACCCTAGAGATGGAAGAAGATGGCAACAATTAAATATGAAAAAATGGAACTAGAGTAAATGCTTGGTTTCCAAACGGCTCAATTCCCTATTTTTCTTTTATTTTCTAGCTTCTAATCATACATCAAACAGATAAGGAAGAACATTCCATTTCAGAGATCATTACTTGTAACGTTTTCCCAGTAAAAGAAAGTCAAATGATTTTTACTGCATCAACAGTTTTAACCAAGATTAAAAGAAGAGAAAAAAAAAGATGAAGAACATACACCTGTTTCTTTTATTGCAAGAATGAAAACATACTCTTTTTCAGTAATAATCGCTTCAATGCCGGAACTTCCTCGTAAACAATCTTAAAAAACCTTAAAAGTATCACCATCATCACTAGCAATAACTAGCAACTGTAGTAACCATCAAGACAAACCTTCCAAATTTAGGATTTAAAAGCCTAAAAGTTTAACATTTAAAAAACTTCAAATCAAGGTCTAAGAAATCGAAGAAATCCAAGGAAACATGCATAAACAAATGTACCTTGTCATCCTCATCCATCATCATTCTGTAAAGGGAACACCACCTGTAGCTACTTTATTTGCCTACACACATTGGAAAGCGGCAAAAATGAACCTACCTAAATTCTTTCACTCTCCTAGACTCAAGGCAAGACCTGTAATGAATGGTTTCAAAA